TTGTGGGACACTCTTGTAGGACACTCTTGTGCGACAGTCTTGTAGGACACTCTTGTGGGACACTCTTGTGAGACACTCTTGTGGGACACTCTTGTAGGACACTCTTGTGGGATACTCCTGTAGGACACTCTTAACGGACACTCTTGTGAGACACTCTAGTGGGAGACTGTTGCGGGACACTCTTGTGGGACACTCTTCCAGCTCCCCAGATACTCCGCGTACTAAAGTTGTACTACAAGGTCGCCAGTTCTCACCTTCCACCTCCACAGATTGCTCCACGTACTAAAGTTGTACTACAAAGTCGCCAGTTCTCAGCTTCCAGCTCCACAGATTGCTTCGCGTACTAAAGTTGTACTACCAAGTCACCAGTTCTCATCTTCCAGCTCCCCAGATACTCCGCGTACTAAAGTTGTACTACAAAGTCGCCAGTGCTCGCCTGCATTTCGCGCGCTCGACATGCACGATCTCCGCAGAGGGTTGCGCGGGCACCGGACAAATCGCACTCTCGCCTGCATTTCGCGCACTCGACACGCACGATCTCCGCAGAGGGTTGCGCGTCAAGTCTCCAAAACGAGCGTTTCGCACGAAACTTCTTCAAAAACTCACACGTCAAAGTCTGCAGAACGAGCGTTTCGTACGAGACTTCCTCCAAAAGTCAAGCGGAAACACCCATCGGAGCACACACATCACGCAGCCCTGCCAAGCAGTTTCGCGATTCCAGCCCCTCCAAACAACATCCGCCCACACGCCAATCCCAATGTGACAGCGACATTCACCTCTACCACAACTCACAACCTCACGATTCCCCGCGCCTGCCACGAAATGTCACCTCCGTCACACCTCGCAACCTCACGATTCCCTGCGCCTGCCACGAGAATCGCACTTCCACGCCTCAAAACCGCACAAACTCCTGTGCCTGCCACGAAAAGTGACAATATCAGCTCATGTGAGCTTCAAGAAAATTTGCACCACACCACACGTTTGGAATGATTTCGACCCGTTCTGCGCACACTCCCACCCACCAAAATCGCCATTTCAGCTGAGACTTGTCACGAAAACCGAGCTTCGATGCCACACCCTGAAACGCAATTCCCAATGGCACGGCCACATCCAACACCCCAAAAACACGACTCTCCAAACACTAATCCGATTGGAGCTGCGCAGCAATCTGCGGATCTCACAAAACGCTGCGCCTGTGCAGCGAAATGCATCACGTCTCTTGACATGTCACTGTCATGCAAATCACAATGGAATAGCGGCGCACACTGACGCGTGACACGTCCATGAAAAGTCACTTGCAAAAGCTTCCCCCAATGGCAGCAAATTTGAGACGCGACGACGACGACGACAAACGACGAGAGACGACGACAAACGACGAGAGACGACGACAAACAACGACAGACGACGAGACGACGCACGCCACGGAAACATAGCTCCAACCCCCAGACCCCCAACTATAAACGGGAACCCTTCGCTACGCATTCGGGAAAATGGTTCAGCTCAAGGTATTGGCCAAAACAGGTTTTCTCATCATTAAATGTTGCTTGCAAAAATATGCAAAACTTGTGAAAAGCAATGATGCAAAGCCAAGGTTGGAATTGAGTGGGGTAATATATATTATATACGAAGTTTAGGAATTGGACAAAATTGGCCTAAGAGGTTGGTATTGATTTTATAGAGACATGTTTGGACACTGAAGGGTCGAAATTGATTTTAGAAGAAGGTTCAGCAGAAATGCAAAACAAGTCCATGTGTTAAAAACAACAACACTGATTTTATAGAGGGGTGGTTGGACGATTGAATCTAGAATCCCAACACTGACCGGAAATCGCACAAAGAATGATTGAATGATTCGGAGTACAAATGCTTTCTATAGAATCACCAACTAGAACCTCTACAAAACCTGGTGCATTTTCATGCCTTCTCTATAAAACGGACTGGCTCAACCTATTGGGCATCGGCCAAGCTGACCCAGTAAAGGCCCATCTTTTATATAATGCTAGTTTTTTTCAGGTAGGTTGAGATTTCATTCTATAGAAAAAGTGTATATAAAATCTGAGGGTCATTTTGTGCTCAAGCTCCCCGATTCTATAGGGTTCATTCGGCGGGGAAATGTATAGTTATAAGATAGCAAAATGTGTAATTTAACATAATTTAACCATACGAATTGTAGAGATTGTAGAGTTTATTGTAACCACTCTATTGTTCGACCCCCTGAACATTGTACATTTTTCAGGGGGTCCAACTTCTGCATCGTTGTATATTATAAGTCGGACCCGCTGCTGAACAAAGTACAATTTCATGGGTCAAATCATAGAGTGATTACAACAAACCATCTCATCTGGGGTGTTGGCTTGGACATGGATTACCTTTCCTTGTGCTCTCTCTCCCTCTCTCTCTCAGAAGCAATCAGTGCAGGCAGTTGTCATCACGAAGCAAACATGAATCATATGCGCCCCTCAGCACCTTCGGTGCGGGTGGATTTCTGGGTTTTCTTTCTACAAAGAACACAACGAATCTTCTTTGTATAATGTACAAGGGAGACAAAGGACAACAACATCTATTTTAAAACCACATATATAGTTATATCATGTCATTTCATAGTAATTAGAAGCTTCCTTGGGAATCGCTTCACTGGGAATCGTTTCACCTGTAGTAACAATAAAGCTTTCTAGTACAGCAACCATACATACAATTACATACATCTGTTCTCTTTCTGTTTCTTTGTCTTGTCTTGTCTTTCTTCCTTTCATTTTGTCTTCCTCCCCCTCTCTCTCTCTGTCTCTGTCTGGATCTCTCTGCGCTTTTTCTTGTCACACCGCTCTTTGGCTATTTGCCCATCGTCCACTACTTCTTGCGAGTCGAGTGAGTGGGCGCCTACAGTTTGTACAACTACGACTTTGCGATACTTTGCGAAAGCTTTCCATCAAGTCGAAAGAACTTCGTGTGCGCAACCCAGCTGCACACAGTCCAAGAAGTGGTGCATTCATCTTGATACGACAGGCCTGTAATGTCGACATGTCTTTTTGTGGACATGATTCCCCACAGCAAAAATACCTTTTGGGCCCAAATAGTCCGCACCGCAACGGTAACAGAACTGTGCGCCACATGGGCATGTCATGTGGTCGCAGCCTTGCTTCTTTTCAATTCCTTGGCGACAGCTGGGACAGCACTGAATGCTTTTCTTCTGCATGTATTGGCAAAGGCCGGCTTGGAGTTTTAGGATTCGAATGCCTTTAATATACACAGGCAGAAATCGAGAGTCCACCTTGATCCACTTCTCATCGATCGGAGTGCCTTGAACGAAGTCTCCCCATTCAGCAATCTCATCGGTGATGTCCTCCCAAGCGCAAGAAGATCGATAGAACACACCGCGTTTAGGTGACCGCAAAGCAGTATTGTCAAGTTGGTATGAATCTGGCCGAGGCTGGAGAACTCGAATGCTTCGAATTCTCGTGGGCAAAAATAGATTGCCGACGGCAACCCATCCAACCGAGTGCAGGTGTCCGCGGACGCAGGAATCCCATTGCGCAAAACGTTTGGCCTTGTCATTCAAATTGGGCGACCAACGATAGCACAGGCCGTTTGAATGGGACTTCAAGGTGCCGTTGTCCACAGTAAAACAAAAGAGTTGCTCTTTGGCAGCCTGCTGACTGTCATACTCAGCACAGGTGAGTTCATCATGCCACTTTGACCGATGATGTGTGCAGGTGCGGCGACTGCACTGTTGGCAGGTCATGAAAATGTTGGGCCCAATGTCCTCCAGCATCTGACCCACCTCACAACCGTGCGCACACCAGCAAAAGCTCGGCTCCTGTGACAAAACCTTCTGTAAAAGCAACTTGTCCAAGTGCTCCGCGTCTTTTTTCGAGCTTTCACGTGCCACATCTGCGAGCGAGAGTGGAGCAGAACAAGTCGGGCACTTGGCCTCTGCTGCCCGTCCCTTCGTCTGGATTTCCATTTGGATCGTCCGTCTCATACAGCGCCGGCACACGTCACGCACATGACGGCAAATCCCGGTGATGCGGCCGGGAAAGGCAGTGACGCCCTTGTCCTCCCTGCACACCAAACACTCCCGAGTGCACCGCCGGCGCTTCGTGTCGGGTCCTTCCATGAGTGCGGACTGAGTTTGGAGCTTGGGCCCAGCTGTCTAAAGAGTCCAACAATCAGCTACCAAAGGTCAAACATGGTCAAAAGCATCTCGCCAAACCCAGGATGCAAGGTCTTACCACAACCTATCACCAATGAATTATTGCATCATGTTGAATCTAGCATGTTGAAGGGCTCTCTCATAAATTCCGTGAGGCACGTATGGTCAGCAAATCTGTAATCATGGCCCTCGCCACATTGAATGCCCCACTCCTAAGCACAAGTCCAGGACAAGTCGTCTGTGAGCAAGCCAGACAGTGTGGTGCACTAAAGAACTGCGTGCGATGAGTCGTCTATGAGAGAAACCCCGTCTGAGCCTATATGAGTGCCAAGTGTCTTGATAGCCCAATATAGGGGTGAAATAGATTGTGTTCCAACCTTAGTGAGATCTGAAAATCGGTGTGCCGGCGCATGCGAAGCTGTCCACGAAACACGCAACACCCAGCTCTGACTCTAACACTCAGCTTTCCGCGGTCACTTTCAGGAGCTCCTGCTCTCGTTGGTTCCGCGCAGTGACCATGATGGCCTCATAGAACCAATGAAGTATTTGTTGGTTGGTTTGTCTGTGTTCACCGGTCACGTGCACGACAACCCTGGTTCGGGCACCTGATGAGATACAAAGAACATCAAAGAACCAAAGCTGACAAGAAAACTGAGCAAAACATGTTCAAAGCAACAGCCTTTGGAAACTCCAATGAGGGCCCATTGTGACCGACCTATCACTGACTAGAGTTCAGCGCTTTAGCGCCCAAGCCAGGCCCAAGCCCTGTTCATTGTGTGCCCTGTCGAGCCATCAGTGGTCCTTTTCCTTCAACTCCAGTGAGTCACTGTTGGGCCCACACCCTTCTCCAAGCCTTCTTGAACTTGTTTGCGCTATTGGTGTTGATGGCCCTCATCACCAAGGTGGAACCCTGACACGCCCCAATAGTGGCCGTGGACTCGCATCTCACAAGAAGGACAGATCTGTGAAAAATAATTGCACCAGGAACGCTCTCAAAGAAAGGCTTATGGCTTGACTCGCGTGTCCTATGTTTGGAGGCACTTTCTAGTCAGCCACATGGAATTGAGCAAGCAAATGGAGGAAGAAAGCAAGATACAAGACCTCCAAGTCTAAAGTGGAGACTTCTCTCACAAGGAAGGTTCAGTAATTGCTTGAAAAGTGGTTGGCCCAATAAGCACTTCTATTTTGACATATGTATATACTGTATATATATAAATATAAAAACATATAAACTAAATACTTACAAAATACAAAGAATATCCATTTATCCATTGACAATGGATTGTGGGGATCCACCGAGTGCACCACAGCCACTGAAAATTGGAGCATCAATGGCACAGGGATGGCTTGACTCGTTTGCCATCTGCCGCAAAAACAACACTCCTGTTTTGGCATGCCTCGATGATTGTCCGCACCAAGGTTTTTGATATGAGGGTCAAGGACCATCGCAGGGAAGCGCAGGTCTTCTCATCCACGTTCCTTGTGGTCACGGGCTTCTTGATGTGCTGGCACAAAGATCACGAAGCTCTGCACCATTCGTTCAGTGTGTGGATACATGCGGGGATGCTCTAGTGACCTTCAACACGTGTCATGAACATGTCATGTGGAAGTGGCATGGAGGCCCGTCTATCATGTCAACGTGGAGATGTCAACGTGGAGATCGGAGGACAAAGATTAGGCCTGAAGGGCCAAAGGATGTGCAAGAATGTGAATTGGCGTCCACTCGCCCACTTCTACTTTTGTTTACTTTTGAGATGAAGATCCGTTTTTGATAGCTGATAGCTTGGTGTCAACCAGGGATTCTGGTTGAACACGCTGGTATGGTGGATTTAAAGTCTAAAGATTGGACATGGTTGCACTGATGTCGACAGGACTCCTGGCATAGATCGCCTGGCTCCAAGCCTGAGATCGGACCCGAGAATCCAATGAGACACCAATGAGAACCCTCCTCTACTGAAATGGAAGCAAATTGATGCTTTGTATATCTTTCTATTTATGCACGAACCCGCACGCCCCCGACACAAGGAATGTGTGGAGGATCTTTTCCTTTCTTTGTGGGTCCAGGAGGTCCATCTGAATCTGACTCTGACCGATTGCAGTTCCCAGGGCTTCAGCTTCGATCTGTGTGGAATGTCAACCCCGTGAAGTTGCTTCTCGGCCTCAACGAATGGCGAGAAGTGCTCGGTGAGAATTCCATAGCCCACGTGCCGAAGGCCCAGCGCAGAAATGTCCTCCACCATGTCACGCGGCCGTTGATAGATCTCCATGCACAACTCCAAGACCTTCCAGGGATTATTCGATCAAAACAAGTTCAGGTGGGCAAACGATGCCTACAAAACTTGGGGGTAAATTGGCAATGGCATTTCTGCGGTAACTTGCCCGCAGAATAGCCAGCAGCAGTGAAAACTTGGCGTTTTGAGACGAGCTGAAATGAATTGAGGTGAAAAGATACTGTAAGATGAGGTGAGCAAAATGAGAAGCTGCGCTGAACCGGAGTGAGTTTGACTATGCAAAGCTGGGGTAGCATTGTGTGGAATTGCCTTTTTGCTGGTTCAGCCTCTGTCCCACATTCAGACCCTCTGAGTATTTTGAAGATGTGTGGCTTATGTTGAAGTGCACAAGGTGACGTGGAGGGACGCGGAACTCCCCAGCTGTGCAAATGAGGCGAGGACACGTTATGAATCCCCGCGCAGCAACCACAACTTAGTAGCAATGGCCTCCAACCTAATTGCAATGGCCCCCAACCTACTTAAAGAATCCCTACCAATTACCTAGGGGGGGCGTCACCTAATTGTAAGTTACAATTTCCTAGGTTTGATACCTCAAAAAATGTAACTTGCAATGACTAAATCACCTGAAAAACTGTAACTTACAATTTTGAGGCCTCAAGGTGGGTCAAACATCCCCCAGGCCTCAAAAATGTAACTTATATTTTTCCAAAATTGTAACTTACACTGGAAAGAAAGAAACATGTAAGTTAACACTGTTCAGGTATGTCTTCCTGCAGTTTACACCACTTTTGTTCACTGTCAAGCTGTTTCTAATTACATTTTCTAGCTATCAAAGGACATCTGAGAGAGCCCTCAAAAGAGCCCTCGAAGGGGCCGAAGGGGCGAACGGGTCCTTCGCGCCGGTTGGTTCCCCGCGGTTCGCCGTGGAGGTGCCATCCCTCACCGTGGTGCACCGATTTCACATTTAGGGGGGCCCTCCACAAGGTCGTGAACAGGTCCGCATTTCTTAAAATTGTCAAAACGGTCAACAGTCCAAAAACGGACCTTAGGCCGATCTCTCGAATCCCTGTGTCTCTAGAGACAGAGCAAAAAAGTAGCTAGTTAAATTGTTTCTTAGTTATTTTCCTGGTCTATATAATTCTGTTCTCTCAAAATCTGTTCTCTCAAAGAATCTATGTAATTTTGCTGAGCCTGTCTAAAATATCACTAAATAATTCAATGCGTCTTTCTGTCTGCTTCCTGTTGTCCTTGAGTGTGAAGGAATGCTATCTTGGACAGAGAATTCTAACACAGGTGCCACACTGCAAGTATTTGATGGGGGGGTTGAAAATGTAACTACACACGTCGGAGGTAGTAAGTTACATTTCCACCCCCTTTTTAGTCTCAGGAAGTTACATTTATTGACCCCCCCCAAAGTGAGTGGTTTGTGGGGGGGGGTTGATAAATGTAAGTACAGGCCTCGGACGTCCTAAGTTACATTTTTGAGGCCCCCCCCTCAAATCCATGGGTAAGGGGGTAGGGATTCTTTAAGCTTAAAGATAGGATCGCTTCACCTGGGCTTTGTTGGGCCCGCCCTTTCGGCCTGCCTTGCCCGCGATGAAGTACAACCTAGTGGTGGATTGCTTGAAGTAGTTCTGCCCACTTGGAGTCTGTTCAAAGAAGCGTCGGTAAACGTCCCGGCAAAGCTCTGGCACGCTTTCCTCCGATAGATTCCGGATGAATCGCTCAACAGCTCTTTGCTGTCCTGGCCAGTTTATTGCACAACAAACATAACATGGACCCTTACAGCTACCTCGTAACAAGTGCATCGCTACTAGTAGCAAGGGCATTACCACTAGTAGTAGTAGTAGTAGTAGTAGTAGTAGTAGTAGTAGTAGTAGTAGTAGTAGCGATGCACTTGTTCCTAGTAGCTTCTTGTTGCTAGTAGTAATGCCCTTGCTACTAGTACGGATGCACTTGCCATGGACCCTGAAAGCTACCAAAACAACAAACAAGACAACACCTACTCAATGGTTTCTGCCAAAGGGTTGACTTTGGGATATCCATCATCCTGCCTTTCAACTGACCTATCTGGGCTTTGATCATCCGCTCCAAGTTGTCCCAGAACCAGGTCCAAGCAACCTGCGATCTCTGAAACGATCGGATTTGACTCGCTGCGATCTCTAAGTTCCGCATTTTCCACTGCCATACTGGGAAGTAGTGTGCACTTGGCCACCCGTGGAGCTGGGGTGGGTTTCGCGTCTATCTGATTGCTATGCAAACCTTACAATGAAAACAGCATTGCACCATTCAGCCTTTCACATGCGTACCCACATTGAGGAGTACAGTAATGGTTCCTATAGGTTATAGGTAACAAGCATCCGACCATCCAAGCCTCATGCTCGACGCCCCATACTTTGGGGACCAAAGAGCGCAATGATGCCAGCATGATTGCCTGCAAGAAATGGGGAAGGGGAAACTGAGCTCGACCCAGGCGGTTGGAGGTCACAACATAAGACACGACAATTGTCAGCAACAGTATTCACTGGCCTTGAATTCAGAAAACACGATGGGCTCCTTGCAACGTCACTCTGAAAATGCATGACGCCAAGGGACTCTATCGTTCTCCAGTGTAGGAAGACCGTTCAACATATATAATCAAACTGCAGGAAATCAAAGTAGTGGCACTGCGGCACAAACAAAAAGAGAGAGAGAGAGAGAGAAAGAGAGACCGTCTGTGAAACTGTTTCTCATGGTTGTGGCCAAAAAACGGCGAGTGCTCAGTGGCTCTGGCATCTGACCGGTCCTTGATCTTGATGAGGCGCAAAGCCAGCACATCACACTCCTCTTGGAGGCGATTGACATTTGATGCGTTCCTGACGATGTCACAGAATGCGGTGTAGCAATGCAAGCACTCATGTTTGTGGGTAGGGGGGGTGCATGCCTGGAACAAAAATCAGCCAAGGATCAAAACCATGTTTTCAAACTGGTCGAGGACTTGCATCATCCACTCAATGCCAGTGTGAAAGCCCATAACAGCTGCATTGAACAAGAACATCTCCTCAAGGAGAACTCATGGCGAGAAAACACACAAGAAATGCATAGAACAAACAACTTGGAGTCTGCAAGGCAGCTGCGGCCAAGGAGCATTGAAGTTCTCCGGGACTTTGGTTGCTTGGATCTTCTTGGCCTAGGTAGTACGGTCCCAAGCTCGCTCAAAGGATCTCAGCATCAAGATGCAAGCAAGCACGACCCATTCCAGAAAGAAAGAGTAGAAGGAACTGCCACATTCTCTCTGGCCAAAATACACGTTTGCTGTTTGGATCTGGCAGTCCTGGCCAGCCAATGCACCAGTCGTGCGTGTCACTCAAGGAACATGTGCAAGAACAAAGGTGCAAGAATGCCCCAAGTCCCTTCTTTCTGTTACCCTAGGTCCTCAGGCCCTTATGCCGCTACAAATCAACATGAACTTCAAAAATGACGAAGCATGGCCACCGCATATTTCGCTAGAACAGCAAAGTTCGCCATGAACAGCAAAAAGCCACCTTTGATAATCCGTTTTCCGGAATATTGCGTCTTCGTACTGGCCAGCTCCAAAAGGCGCCTTCGTCGTTGCGAAACTTCTCGAGTTCTTTGTCATCATTGGTGAAATCCTTTTCCTCATCCTGCCCGAGTCCTCAGCATCTGGGTGATCTGGCAGAATTTCTAGCGACCACAGGTGGCATGACCATGTCTACATCCTGCGACCAACATGTAGCTCAAAGATGCTCAACCAGGTGCTTCAAGGTGGCCTCTGACACGTCTGTGATGAGTCCGTTGTACCCACATGTTTTTCCTCTGAAATGCAGCTTGGAATCGAGCATGCATCGCCTGAGTGAGAAGCGCTACAAAGGGCGGGAGCATACAGGAGCCTTTAAGAAGTGATGGGGAATGGAACGGATAGGAGAGGGACGATAAATCATTCAGTGAGGCATTCAAGGCCCTTCTCTTCTCCGAACATGTCTTTAAACGTCAGCTAGCCGTAGCTGCCCTCCAGCACCTATCAAAAGGATTGCCATGCTGAAACACAGGTTACCATTCAACTGCTAGATACTACTAGTACATGCTCAACCAAGCTGCGGCTAGCCAACTGGTGCGTAGGAGTTGAATTCGGTCGGAATATTCTCTTCGCACGTAGATCATGGCACCCGCGCTGTAGTTCAGAATAGCTTGGAATCCAGCCTTCACCTGGCGGGACTCTGGGGTTTCTGCTGCAGGTGGTATGGCTGAAGTCTGTCGACATTGCTTGCTGCGGGCTTTTTAAAGCACTTCACTCGACGGTGAGCCGTGTGTACAGTACAGAATAGTATAGATGTGCTGTTGGTCCAAAAGATTCCAGCCTGTGGGGTCAAAGCAGAGCCCAGCTCCATCTCGAGCAACTCCACAATGGCATCCCGGAAAACAGCGGCTCGAGGACCGGTCACCTGGATGTCCAAATGCTGAAAGCTCAACATCTCTGTGACGACCTCGCAGGGCAGCGAGATGAAGCGAGGCAGGGTTTACGAGTCCAAATGTTTGTTTAGCCGATTTTCCTTGATCTTCCTTTACCACTTCCTTTACCTTCCACATCCTTCCAATTTGGAAGGTCAGTCCTTAAGCTGCGCAGGGTTTCCAAGTTCTGTGATCAGGGAGTTCAAGCCAACGACAAACTTCATGGCCATGATGGACCGCGCAGTCCTTGGTCCCCGATCGTCCAACTCGGCCAACGGAGGCACAAAAGGAAGGCACTGGGCCGATTCAGAAACACGCGTGATGTGGACGCGTGTGAAATCCAGTGTTTCAGCTAGCGGCCTCCACTCCAATATACACAGTACCCGAAATGAGCCTAGTCTCTTGAAGAGGTGTTGCAATTCAGGAGCAGCATCAAAAATGGCCGCATAGATTGCCTCACCGACCGCGTCCCTGGATCCCTGTGAGGTGATAAAGGCTTGCCAACCATTCCTGAGCAGCTTTGACCGGGTCGTGGGGCTAGTGATAGGGCTGAACTGCTTGTGAAGGTCTATTGCTGTTGAGTTTTGCCTGAGAAAGCCAATGGGACAAAACTATGCGAAAAGAATTTATCACAGATTCATAACATGCCAGGTGTCTGAATGTCTTGCACCAGTTGATAGGGCATCCGGAGTTCTCCAAAGACATGATCCTGGACATCCGTGACCAGGGCTTCAATGTCTTCCACCTTGCACCGAGCTGGGCAACTGGCAAGCTGGGCAGCTTGCCAGTTAGCCATGGGAGGGGCCATGGAAGGAGCAACCACTCATGTCATGTTTCAAAGATGTCTGATCTGGCCTCCAGTGGGAAAACAGGGAAGTCTGAGTCAGAGCACGTCTGAACTGTGCATCCTTTTTGGATCAAAAACTCTGAAAAGCCATTATTCGGAGGGTGGTCTCTTTTGCCGTACTTCCAGTTTTCAATGATTGTGGATCATATTGAGGGCAAGCTCAGGAAGCTCACCTGCTTGCTCACTTGCAAACAGCCGGACGAGGCGGACCAGGCCTCAACTCCTCCAGTGCCGCTATCCTCTGGGTTCTCCTTGCGTCCAAACCGGTCCAAGCAAATTCAACTCTCCATGGGCGAGCTTTGTCCGAATGGTGGGACCAAGCGCCAGGGATGAAGCGCCATGACTTTCTGTAGATCAAACACCAGTGCTGGCCACTTAGCCTCTGAGAAAGCTGTTCCGGATGCCAGAAAAGCCAACCGCCAACCAATCCCCGAAAAACTGGCAATTGCATGGAATTACCCTAACCATTGCAACTTACCAAATTTAATCTCTGCATATCTTTGGTGTTGAGTTTTGGCATACTGTATTTAGAAATAAGAATAGATCACACACAGATATAATAGCCAGTCTTGAGAATAAAGACGCTACAAGACCTGCTAATTGAACCGACGATTCCCAATATTTTTGGTGTTCGCATGTGTTGGCATTCTGCATCACATTGGCCCAGTGTAGAGGGGACGTGCCATTGACCCGACGTCGGTTTCGCTCCTCGTCACCTTCGCTAAAATCGCTTCCGTTGTCCGACTCCTCATCCGGCTGATGGGTAAGGAGCGCCAGTACAGCCGCAATGGATCGAACAAGTAAAGGGGAGGTTTGACAAAACTGGTCAACGACCAAGAAAAAATCCTTGCAAGTCTCCATTTGCCTAGATAGAGGCAGGTGCAGAACACATGTCGCGCCCAGTCCGGTCCTGTTCCTCAAGCAAATCAGTCTCATCTTGGGCAGTCAGCTCCGCTAAGAGATTGTTTATCTCATCTGCCTCCATCTCGCCACCTGCCCAAAGGGCGTTCGGAGCCAGGGTGCCCCTGAAACAACGGGCCTCTTTCCCGGGCTCAGATCAGACGAAACCCTAAATACCACATGCGTAAGTGGCATGTACATGCCATGGGTAGAAAAAGTGTATCTCCCCCAGGTGATGGTAGCAGGATGCAAGCGTGTCAAAGAAGGGATCCCCATGTTTCATGGTTTGGGGGAGAAGTAGCCAAACACAAAAGGAAAATATACATTAAACAATTCCGTACTTACTGAAAATACTTTGGGGGGCAGCCAAGGAATCAAAAATAATCGAAAGCTGTGACCAATCGGGATCCAATTTGTCTGACCTTTCCTTCTTGCCTTGCGCTTACAAACATATACAGTAGAAACAACAATCAATAATGCTCGGAACATGAGTTGGATACTTGGGAGTTGATCTAAATTCCTTTATCTGGGATCCGTCATTTTCGCAAAAAAGAATACTTTCGCCAAACTTTCGCTTTCCTGCGTTTTATCTTTCGCCGAAGTACGTTGTATTTATGGGTGCCATGTATGTTGTGTTTTGTTCACGTCAATGGCTTCTTCTTTACTGGAAACTTCACTGTTTGTCAGCATGTGTCTTCTACTTAACTGTTGACACCCTGTACGTCTCTTTTGTTTCTCGTGGGTGTCAGCAAGAATCAAAATTGCAAGAATCACTGTAGTAGCCGGTCACTCAAACATACTCATAATGGGCTGGGGGTCAGATGTGGCAGGGTGAACTTTCGCCAATCTTGAGCTGAACTTTCGCCAAACTTTCGCCTTTTGCGGGGTAGAGTTTTGTCGCAAAGCCACCCCCCCAAAGCAGGAGCAGGAATAGTAGTAGTAGTAGTAGTATAGTAATAGTATAGTAGTAGTAGTAGTCGTCGTCGTCGTAGTGGTAGTGGTAGTGGTAGTCGTAGTAGTAGTAGTAGTAGTAGTAGTAGCAGCCGCAGCAGCAGCAGGTTATCTAACTTCCACAGCTCATCTAGCTTCTGAGTCACTAAAAGTGCATATTTAATCTTGCGCCAGATCTTTCGCCAAAAAAATTTACTTTCGCCAACTCGAGAAAAAACTTTCGCCACATGAGATTTTGATATGTTCCGGGTCATCGTCATACACACTGCTGACTAGGACCTTTAGATCGACAACCACTTTTTGTTTTGTTGGGCCCTCTCAAATTCTATTTCCTTACCCATAGAAACAAACATAAAAAGTCCCACCGTGCCTTGATGCATCTGTGCGTTGGTGCATTGAAACGGTTTGCCGAATGTATTTGGTAGATTTGCTAGTTTCTGTCTCCTCTTCTTGGTGTTTTCTGATTTGCCTACCGCAGGGCCAGCCCCAGCTGATCCTGAGTTTCCGCTAAGCGCTACCTACCGTTTGAGAGTGGTATGTGCTAATGTACCTATACAGGCTCCAACGGTATGAAGAATCTCATTGAGTACCTGAGAAGCTGCAAAACGAAAGCCAGCGTTTTTACTTTCGAGTGTGCTTTCTCAGGCCACCCCCCGGAACCCCCCTTCTTACTCAGCTGGCGCAGGTATAGATACCCAGGGTAGCTACAATTCAGTTGCCAGGTATAGTACTTCAAGTTCCCTTTCCGTCAACCGCTCGATAGCCTTTACACACGCACAGCAATCCACAGCTTTGAAGTCTCATTCTTGCATTGAACTTATATAGGTGTGTAAGAGGTATAGCAACATAGCATTTATACGGACCCAGGGTAGCTACACTTCTGTTGCCTGGTATCCCACTTTAATTTCCCTGCCCTGGGTCCGCGCACGCGCGCGCACGCCTTGCTCGGTCCCGGCTGCCCGTCATTTAGGCGTGCGCGCGCGGACCCAGGGCAGCTACAAGGCAGTTGCCAGGTATACCCAGGGTAGCTACAATTCAGTTGCCAAGTAAAGCACCGCAAGCAACCGAAGACAATTGCATTTCTTAAAATCACAAAAAAAACACCTCCAAAACCTTGCTTCCGTGCACCCCTACACACCACCTACTTTCGAGTGTGCTTTCTCAGGCCACCCCCCCGAACCCCCCTTCTTACTCAGCTGGCGCCTTGCCAGGTATAGATACCCAGGGTAGCTACAATTCAGTTGCCAGGTATAGTACTTCCAGTTCCCTTTCCGTCAACCGCTCGATAACCTTTACACATGCACAGCACACCACAGCTTTGAAGTCTCATTCGTGCTTTGAACTTATATAGGTGTGTAAGAGGTATAGCAACATAGCATTTATACGGACCCAGCATAGCTACACTTCTGTTGCCAGGTATCGCGCGCATGAGACTTCAAAGCTGCGGATTGCTGTGCGTGTGTAAAGGTTATCGAGCGGTTGATGGAAAGGGAACTTGAAGTACTATACCTGGTGACTACCAAGGCTGGCTTTTGTAACAAGGAGCTTATCGTCTCTTTCCCTAAAGGAAAAAGATCGGAGCAACGCGGGAGCTTTTACAGATTCCCGCAAGCCCTGCGCCCTCTGCGGAGTAACCTCATCCACAAGGAAACCAGTATTGGGTTAAACGGACAACCAGTGGCGTAACTACGGAATGCGTTTTCACATGCAGTTCGTTGACTAATTAGGTCCGTTGTGAAACACTTGCTGCCCGTTTATGGGTGCGGACTTCGTGCGAGGATATATAATCCGGTTTTGGGACGGAACCCATCTCACAATGTTGCTCCTAATGCTACATACTTATTTACATCTTATTTACTGCATATATTGCAATTTCCATGGAAACCTGTCCTGGTTGCAAGAAAGAATTTCATTTTATCACAAATAACCAAAACGACAATGGTTCGTACAGCCACACAAACATTCTTGCATCCATTTGCACAACTCATCAGTCGGTCCAGTTGGCCATTCAGGATCCGTATGCTGCCATGTATAACGGAACAATATCTCGGACGTCGTCGTAATCTGTTATTTTTAGCCGCCCTGTTGCGGGAGCTTGACGACGCGCGTCCGCAGCTGCTGGGAAATCCCATGCCGGTATGCCAGCCCGGGGCTTGAGATGAGCTTGACGGGGACAACTTGAATGAGATGCTGTATATGTTGTTTGCAGGCTTCACCTTGCCTCCAGTGTTGTCTGGATTTCTTGCACCTGTTGATGAACCAAGGGGTTAGCTTCTCGTCTAGGAGTCTAGCACGTTCAATCATCTCCTCCTGCAGTTCAATGACCTGCGCGTTGCCTGGCCACATTGCTGTTCGAGCTCGGCTGTCTGAAACTCTATCTTGACCCTGAGCTGAGCTTCCGCGAATCACTATCTTTTCTCTGATGCTTGCGAATAGTATATGCTGTGGTGTCTACACGTGCTCCATGGGGTATGAGGAATTTCAACACTAACCCTTATATAAAACTATATATATATAGAAGCAAAAGTGCAAACCTAGAAGCATTGGTGCCAATACATTTGTGGCCATTCATAGGTTGTTGGACAGCCTTTGCTCAGTTTTTGGATGTTTTTGGGCAAGTTGCTTGGTTTGCTGCCAGGCAGCTTCTAGATTCTAGTTCCCGTTCCCCATAGCTTTTGGTAACAAGTGATCAAAAAAAATCATTGGTGCCTTTGTGTGCCTGTGCTTTTGTATGCTTTTGTTTATTCAGTAAAGTTGCTGGTTTGTTGGGGCCTGTTGGGCTTTTGAACTCTTCAACGTGAACTATACTAGTGGTGCCTGTGCTTACACCTGTGCTTTTGTGCTTCTATGCATGGTGTTTGGAAGGGGAAGGCTGTTGATGAATTTATTCTGAACATGGGCAGGGCTTGGCAAGCATTCTGAAGAAAACACAGGGCAGAACCACCTTTGAAGTCTGGTCACAGAATTTATCAGAGCGGATGCTAGCTAGAGTCGTTGATTTGGCGCTGCTTTGCCATTTGCACAACGCAAACTTGTACCTGGTGATGAACATCCCTGAATTGCACGATCATCAAACATTGTTCACAAATAAACAATCAGGGTGCCAATCACCCGTCCTTACAAGCATGATATTTTTGGCCAACCATGAAATATCCCAACATGCAAAAAACATATTGCCTCACTCCAAACCCACCTCAACCTTTAATTAACACGAGATTGTCTTGTAATAAATCACCTCAAAAAATCAGAGCTCAAGCCCTCCTGCTTCATATCCTCTGTACAAATGGCTGTCTTGCCATTGACATTGACACAGCGGCCGCAAAGCATATTAATAGAGCAAAGTAAATACAGTATGTGAATCATGATGTAAAACAACGCATCAAATTCCTCCAAACAATTTGAAAACCAGACTCGTTTTGTTCTAGGTTGATTATAGTAAAATAGTTGATGTCTTTTTCAATGTCAACGACTGCTAGAGATCTTGGGAATTCTGATCTGAGCCCTTCCCACCTCTGAGCTCCTGCTGGATCTCAAGTAGCACAAGAAAGCAATCACACCAGGAATCAGATCATTTTGCAAAGCCCTTTCACAAATTTTGCGCATATCAACACAAAGCATCATTAGTAATAACACAAAGATCGCCGATTTGCTCCTTGGGCTCAATGTGGCGAGCTTCCCCGTGGCACCCATGTTCTTCTGGGAGCCACCAATCACGCTGTGAGGCCGAGCGTCCAGGCCCGAGAACACTCGTCATGCATCCCGTACAAAGATGACAAAGCCGTGACGTATGGGGCATGTGCATATCCATCCCATATCATATGTCATATCACCATTTGCATCCCAAATCCGCCTACACCATACGCAATACATTCTATGAGTGTTTTATCGAATCACATCAATTGCTGGACCCCGCACCCAAAAATGGTTGGTTGATCTCGCCTACCGTACTCCATCTCCGTAACATGTTCGGGCGTCAATCCCCCATCCCAGGATTGCCCGGCGCGTTCAAACCAATCTCCCGGGACCAACATCTGAGTGTCATGGGTCTTCTTTTTGCCGAAGCAACCCGGTTTGGGTGGACTCACTGAGATGTTCCAACACCAAAACAATAAAACAGTATGAGAGGGTGCAGTGAATGCTGTGTCTGAGTGAGTCTCACCATCCGCCCTTTGTACAGGTCCCTCGCAAGCCGCACTGCTCAAAGTAAGACCTAGCCCGGGATCGGTTCAACACAAGTCCACTGAATTGCTAGTAACAAGGAGCTAGTAGAAACAAGTGCATCGCTACTAGTAACAAGTAACAAGAAGCTATTAGAATTGTTTGAACACTTTGCACTTTTGCACGCCAAACCTTCATGAACATCAACAGGGGCGATGCGAACAGAACCACCTGGCGGCGAGGGGGTACCACAAGGCAGCTGGCCGAGTGCTTCTCCGTTTGTCACGTGCCAAAGTCGCCGGCAGCAAGGCTTGCTTCTGGACCGTGGACCAGCCCAATGCACTGCAGGCCTTGTGAGATCCCAACAGCGCCCGCACAGTCCCCGGGAGGCATAGTCAATTGATAGCTATTGTTCACGCAATATTTCCTAGAACCCTCACAATACATATGCAGTGTATCATTGACAGTATGTATTTATATATGTAAATAGTGTATATTTTTGTTTATTTAAGTGTTATTCAAAACATATAAATAAAAATATGCGATCATGATTCCCGTGACAATCTGCCAGAATCTCCAACAATATCATGGGATCTATGGGGGTCCTGGGGATGATTCATGATAGATTCATGCCGAGCTCGCCCTCATATGAGCCACCATCAAAAATTATTGCCAAATCAAAGGACATCATGCTATCATGTTTTTCTCCGGTTGTGTCTAACCTTTTTTGGTGTGTGCGTGTGTGTCATCGTTTTTCGGCAAGATCCCACATCCATCTTTTTGCTTGTATAACGTAGTGACTCACATGACATGCCCCACAATCTGAGGTGCTGACAAAGGCCGATCCAATAAGTATTCTGCCAGCATTCCGGTGAAAGAATCTAACCTGAGTATACTCCCGTGTGCTCCCCACCACTTAGAGATCGTCCGAATCAAAAGCTGCTGGCTGTCTTGGAGGTCTTCATCATGCCAATGTGTGGGTCCTTGGGTTGCAGCTTCTCCCCCAAGCGATCGCGAGCGCGTCCCGCTTCCCACGCCCGTCCCGTGCTTTTCTCTGAGCTGTGCGCGAGAAGTCCCGTTCCGGCAACTGCCATGCTGAAGGTTGAAAGCAAGCAAATCAAACCTGCAAGGGTCGCATCGATAAAAACCATGACCTTGCAGCCCAAGTTCATAGATACCCAATGGGACCAAACGAGGCCTGATAGTCCATGCCAGGTTGTAATATGTGGCTTTCCCATCGCCTTGCTTTTAGGCCATTGGAGAGTAACGATCACAGCATGTCAGCATGTCAAAGAAAAAACAGTTCCAGTAACTCTCCAAACATCTCCAAACGATTCCGAACAGCCTCCTTGTTGGAATGGATCACATACCAACCTCAAGATCTCAAGATTTCTGCTCAAGTGGGCAGAAGCTGCATCCACTGAGCGCCGGGCCGAAGGCAGCTGCCACGCTGGCAGCACCCATGAGGTAGCCATGGATCTTGGTTGCTCGCAGGCCTAGGCAAAAGGGCACAGTTGGTACACGGAAACCCTTTTTTCCAGCAATTCTCAACGAATCCTATTCTGTCTTCTTTGCCAGGGCTATGCTTTGTAATGCTGTGGAAAGGGAAGAAAGGAAGGTCCCGCGCCACCAATCTTTTTCACCAAGGTTGCGTTGCCCATGAGGACAACATAACCTAGTAACCTCGGCAAATCTTTCACTAAAACGAATGGACACGCGAAAGGGTGGGTCACTCAGCCTTTGGCATGGCGGCTGGATGGTACCAAAACCAAACAGGCCATGATGGTGTCACGGCCTGAGCTGATGTTTGGCTGATGCCAGGGGCCCCGGTGGGACGACGTGACCTCCATGGTGGGACATCGAACCCGATCCACGGTGGGACGCCCTAAGCAACCCACCACCGCTGCGAGCACTGCAAAGATCGCCATCGCAGGGCCCCAGACCTGCAGCCTCGGACAAGCCGAGTCTGCAAGGATCCCAAAACTCAACAAGGATCCTGCACCTGGCCTAGGCCACGGCGACATAGATAACCATCCGTTCCTATCCCAAAGAAAGGAAGCCAAGCCCAGTAGTGCAGAGTGCAAAGAATTTGTGGCAGCGCGCGGGTGTCCTGGCTTCATCGGCCTTCAAAGCGGGCCCCCCCAAATCTTGATGGATTTCACAAGATCTGTGCTAAGGTAAAGCATTCCTAGCCGAACACCAGCAGGTGCCCGCAGGTGGAGCCTTGGTCATCACTCCGGCCAAGAACTCCCACAGGTGCTTCGGGGAGATCCAAAATGGCATGTAGGTAGTAGCGGCGAGCAGTGCTACACAATTGCAACGGCAGTGGGATTTGCGTGTCTGTGGCACTTTGAAGTTTGAAGGAACCTCATCTTCAGTTTTCTGATCTTTCTGATGAGCAAAGGCTGTTGCATCATTTTGGTGTAGCAAACACTGAGTAGCCTTCACAGGTTGACCCAAACCGACACCATGTCAAACACGACACACTGCACATTCCCCGAAGGATAAAGTACTTCCTGGACAACGTATTGGTTACCCTTCTGAATGGAACGCAAGTCTTGATACTCAGGTACTTACATTGACCATGAAACTGTCAGTGAAAGGGCTCTTCCACGCTTCCTGAGCAAGTCTGCATCACCAGCGGACTTACATTTTGTCCTTTCTCTGCGGCCGCTCTCAAGGCCTGGAAATGCCATGGCCCAAACACAAGTGTTACAGCAATGCCTAAACAAAGCCATGTGAACAGGTCACTGCCAAAGCCACCATGAAAAATTTGGGGCATCAAATGGCATCAAGCACTTGGGTTTGTGTGAGTCTGTAGAACCGCCACACAAGAGTCAGACTGACAGGTGCATGATTCAGTGCATGATGTAGAGGAAAAAACATTAACAAACACATTACACAGGAACCACCAAAATCTGATTGCTGGGCGGCTCTGCCACTTCGACAATACAAACACTTTGTGATTCCTAAGGGTGTTGACGTGTTTTCAATGTTTGGAGTCGACGGCTTGATGCCAAAACCTCGGAAAAAGCAGCGGATTCCACCCGCTTCTGGCCTGGGAGCATCTGGCTGAGACCTGGCAAAATCGTTCAAGCCACAGGTGGCAAATCCAACAGCAAAGCCTCACTTCCATGGTCAGATGATGTCAGGTGAAGGAGCACATCCATGACAAGTCTCACAACCTTCTTGCTTCATGACTAGATATGACTAGACGGGGTCCAATGGCTCTTGACTACGCGCACAAGCAGCAAAGTCTCACTGATGTCTCCAGTTGAGCACATTTTCTGGAGCAAAGCAGCCCAGAAAAGCACGTCTCAAGCACATGGAACGAGACGAAGCGAATCTGAAGCCAAACACCAGGTGCCTTCCATTGTCCCTGAATCCTGGCCCATGCTGCCAGTTTCAACTCGAAGCAGCGAATGCCGAGGACCAACTGAGAAAAAAAGACCTTCTCAGCATTTCACCACACCAGCCTCACGGATGAAGCGCAAAGCTTCTTCACCGCGGCCGGCCTCAAAATCATGGGATCTGGCACAAAGCCTTAACTGCATCTGGAAGCATCAGACTGCAACTGGATATCTGGAGTTGAAGCTTGAGATATGCCAGTGACGGACGACAGGATCTAGATTCTAGATATGAGAATTCAACTGCCTACACTGACAAATTGCAACAATTGCAAACCTTTCAGTGAAAGTCTTTTCAAGTTTCAGGTCCACCACATTCCCCCATGCCTCAGACAAAGATACAGCCAACATGCCCAAGCATATTCGATCTGGCCTCGAGGACAGTGCACATCCGCATTAAAACCCGGCACGGAACATGAGCAAACATTGCCAGGTTGGCTTGCAACAGCACCCTAGCCAGGGGTTGGGGCAAACACACTTGGATCCACTGGACATAAGATTGCAGCTGAAGGCCCTCCAATTTCATCTCGCTGATCTGGGCAAAATGGTAAGCGTGCAAACTCTGGCAGGGTGTGGCGCGAGCATCCATGACCCTTCGCAGCTGAGGGGGGGCATGATGTCTCACTATGCAAAGCTTCCAAAAAGTTGCAGGATGATCACCATACACAAGTGGCATCAGGGTGAGTTCTTACTGAAAGGCACCGCTCGCAGCATGGTGGCCCATGAAGTCACACAGGGCCCACACCGGCTTTTCTCGCTGTAAACTGAGGAAACTGCTAGGTGCAGCGCCCATGGCCACTTCGATGCAAACCTGGGACAGTGCACAAAGTCTCTTATCATGTGTAGGCTTGAAACCGTTTCTCTCGTACCTGCAGGCACTGATGGCCGCCCCATAGCTGACCTCAGCCAAAAACCTCCCAACGCCTCCAAGAACTAAGCACATATATGTATATATTACATCTTTTCAGAATCTCTTGGCCAAAAGAACTGCCCCAAACCCACCTTTCTTCCACAAGTGTTTGAACATAAGGCAGGTTTTCTCTTGGGTTTTTGCAACAGGTCAACAGGTATTCCGTTGCAGAATTTTCATTAATGATCGCAGGCAGCAAACAAATAGGGATGTTTCCCTTGCTCACAATTTCTTGGGACCTTGCCACAGTCGGTTGTAGCTGTGCAGCACGAGCCTCTGGCTCGCACACGGAAGTGGAGGTTTTTACTGTAAATCCATTACTGACTGTACAATACTTGTCGCACAAATGATAATGAGTGGAGCTTTATCGGGTGGAAAATGGCTTGCATCGCCCCTAGCCTTCTCCAGAAGGGCCAAGGCAATATCCCAAGCAGTGCCCCGTTCGCAACCTGAGGACTATCAGCAATAGATCCTAAAATTAACAACGGATGGGATGTGTGGAAGGTATACCAACCCCCACCCCGAATTCTTACCCCACCCCTTGAAAAGACTAGTAAGTCCAGGTGGCTTTCGGAAAATTAGGAAATCAAAAAACACATATCACATATATAATATAGAAATACTGGAAAATTTGTCATACACATGAATTATACACATATTTCAATTCTCTTATTTGGGTACACAAAACACGTATATATATATATATATGTCAATACTTATATGGAAACAGGGCTCATGAATCAGGGCAGCCTTTGTGACCTTCTCAAACTGCAGTTTCGTCAACAGAAATGACAAGAAATGTGTCGGAGAGAAAAACGACAGGAACTGAAAGGAATGAAGAATTGAAAAAGACGTGAAAGACATGCAAAGAATGTTAAGAGCACACGCACACATACAAAAAACAATAATTATCAATAATTAATGACAAGAATCTGACTTGACATTACCAGCTAGCAGGACAGATCTAGAGTACACATTCCTCGACTTGTTGTTTGTCTTCTGAGTCCAGGTTGGCGATCCAAAAACATGCCAAGCTGCATTCGCAACATCTCAGGGTGGGGCTGGTGATCGTTGAGTTGAATGTGATCATGTTCGGAGGGGCCTCAGTGTCTGCTCACGGACAAACAAAGATGGGCTTAGCTGGGCATCGGGCAGCAAACGGCATCTGTGTTATCAGCCTGAGGCAAGGCTTTGGCAGAGTTGAACACCTCCCAACATGCGGAGTGCCTTCGTTAGCCCAGCCTCAGTGCTTGCTGCCATTCGTGGCTGCGCCTGGAGTGTCAAGCACTTGATCACACTAGGCTCTGGCCATGACATTCTGGTCTGGAGATCTAGGACAAATCACCGCATGCGACACTCGCACCATCCTTCATCCTTTTCGAGGGTGTCAAGACTTATTCACTCGACAGCTTGAAAATTATCTCATATGATCAAACTATATATTAGCATTCACTCATTTTGATTGAACACATCCTACAGCCTCAGATCTCTGTAGGTTCATATTGTCTTGTGAAATCACCCAGGGGTGAGTGGACCGTCGACCGTCATGACCGTCATGCTATGTCATGTCCTCTTTGTCATTCCTCTGAGCTGCAGGCCCACAAGCAGCAATCGCCTTGGCTACGATTTTGGGTGCCCCGAACCGTGGTGTTCGACGCCTCTTCTTTTCTCACCGCAAACCTGCAAAGTGTGCCTTACCTCCATTTTGAGTCCGCCCTGGTGATGCACATCTGACCCCAAAACTACCCGGACTGGGAGGCTCCAACCGCATTGAAGCAAATGGTGGTAGGCTCTAACCTAAGTCTGAGAGAATGGGAATCGGGTCTCTGGGTGTCTCTGGCAGTCACGTATGGCCTCCCGACCACGGTTTACACTCGTGTTTGGCGTTCCAGAACGGTTGGGTCCGTGCTTTTTCGCTCCGAAACTGGAGGCGCGTGCAACTGCACTCAAGACCCCCATTGCATTCAGATATTCTTGGTAGGCTGCCACCTCATTGATGAGTTGATCTGTTCATCATAGTTTTTGAATGTTTTTGAGGTTTGCTTGGTCTCGGGTGCCCTGAGCATTTTTGGCCCAGAACCGGCCGAACAAACCTCTGGCCTTTTGAGTTTGCCAGGCCAGTCAGATGGAGAAGCCAGGTTGGAACCAAGCAAAGGACTCAAAGTTTGCATGTCCAAAAGTTGGATTTCTCCAGTGTCACCAACCAACATGGATGTGGATTCTCTTGATTGGACAAACACCAAGTCTGGGCCGTTCATGACCATCTTCCAGAAATCCACTCCCATGTGAGTTAGTGACCATCCCGGTGACCTTCCTGGCTTCACCCGCACACCGCTCAGGTGGCCCCATCCCGACCGCGGCTGGAAGCGACCTGAGACGAGCACAGCGAGTGAAGGCGGTGAAGGCGAAGGGTGTTGGATTTACCGCACGTTGCATTTGAGATCCCCCTTGAATAAGAAGCTGGCTGTGGATGTTCATCGACATCGACATTTTATAGTATCTGAATCAAGGGAGGTCATTTGAACTTAATTATTTCGGCCACTTTTGCATTTCAGCAACAAGTGCCATGCAGGACATGAAGTGCTCTTGTGATTTTCACGTGGCTGCTTTTGGCTGTCCGGATCAGCAAACCGTTTTGGAGATGTTAAAGGATCACTTACAGGAAGTAATCAACCTTAAGATATCTTAAGTAGATTATACTATATAATGTGTATGAATATGTATACACATACACTTTTCAATTGGTTGAAGGCAAATCTGTTAAGGAAATCCACACCCTAAGCCCATACTCTGACTTTTCTCTACTCAACCGCATTTCACATCAAAGCACCCAGCTGAAGAGCATGATCTGACGTCAAAGCGGCTTCTTCCTTCTTGCACTCATCAGACTAACCAATCTCCAGTGCAATCAAGCAGCTGATGGATCTCTTACTCTTTGGTCTCCGTTCTCACCCGTGTCCCCCGAGTCTGGCTTCAGGTGGTACATCCTCAGTCTGAGCCAATCCCGTCACCCAGTTCGAAGAGTTCAACGTCTTTGTGCCCATCATTTGCCAAGGATCCGCCAATCCCGATACACCTCAACGTGCGACAAATCTTAATCTGTCAAATCTCCCCACATGCCCCAGCACGGCCATCAAGTTCACAAAAATATATATATATGTATTATACACACACATATATATATAATAACTATATGTATATATATATAAGAATCATGCAAATAGTCCATGGTGTGAACAAAAAGAAACTCCCCCCAAAGGCAAGCTATGCAACCAGATAGCTCCAAATGGTGATGTCTCACATTTGCATCCTTTTTTTGGCGAACCATCCAATCATCAATCCAAACCCAGGGCTCTGCTTCCCCGCCTCACGATCCCCATAGCCTTGCACATCCTTGGTGCAGCCCTGCGAAACAGCTCGACTGTCCATGGGACGTGTGGAACAAAGCACGTCGAAAACATTCGAAAAACAAAACCGCTGCCCTATTCGAGCCTCGACCATATTCGACGCCATCACGTGCTCTGCCATGACGGACGCTGGAAAAGACTCACTCCTCGACAGTCCCATACCTCAGAATCAAAGCCATCGAAGAAAAGGCGTAATGGAGAGGGACAAACCGTACAATTAGGAGCAAGGACACTACTAGGGGCTCCTGGCATCGCTGCTAGCAAGCAAGGACGCTACTATGCACACCCGGTCCAACTCTACCGGGGGAGCACACACACCCAAGACACATTTTTGTGGACTGGGCCACGGCAGCCACTGGGTGTTATGCACAAATAGAATGTAAACTAGCACAGCCATGGGGCTCTTCTTGCTATCCTTTCTTTCTTCGCGTGGCGTCAGAGGCTTCGGCCTGCCACACAGTGTTGGATTTCTTTCTCTCAGGCACGATGCAACTTTTGTAGGCATGGATACATGGAGTGGAAAGAACTTCCTCGCCATGTTCAGGACAAGTGGGCCAACGCCGCGGTGATCTTGCAGGCCAAGAGTCACTGTTGTGCTGATGTTGTCTGCAAGCTCACGCCTAAGAGGGCAGGAAGACTCCAGGATAAGAGCCTGAAGACCCATGCATACAACAGAGTGTAACACCATGGGCTAGCTGATGCCATCATTGTCATGCATTAGTGGTGATGCCAGAGCGTAATTCAAGGAAATCTAGGCCAACTAAATGCAGCGCCGTGGCAGTGTGTCCTCCAACTTCGATTTGGTGTCCGAGTGGTGGACTCGCATCCTGCCGTAGAAAAGCGCCGTTCCAGTCAATTCCAGTAATCATTCCAGTGGTGTTGAGCGACCCACAAACACCCAGCTGCACACACAAAATCATACAAACACCATCTAGAAATCCCGTCCTGGTGCTGGTGGTGCTGCTTGCTGCTTGGGAGTGAGATGCTTGCTGCGCAAGCGGTGGCGTCTGCGCTGGCTTGGCCTGTGTTGGCTGTGGCTTCGGCTCATGTGGACGAACTTGCGAAGGCACCGCAAAGTCTGGCAACCTGGGACCATTCGTGGCACGTGCGAGCTTCATGACGTTCCACACTATCCACACTAATGACATCTAAGAACCAACCGTGGACATGGTGACACCAATCAATCGTCTCATGTTGGCATCAATTGTGGGACCAGCAGCAGGTCCAGATCCGAATGCCCTGCAAATGCACCAAAGCTTGGCCTCGGCTCCAATGGATTGTCGGTACTCTTCGGTCGAGCGCCGGTCAATCCGGATGGATGACCAAAAGCCCACTGAGATGAAATGCCGCGATACCGTATGCAGCGACTGGGTGCAAATGCAAGAGCGCCAAACTGGAGAGGGGTCGAGATAAATTGAACAAAATGTAATATACATATTATATATATATTTAATAATAATGGCATACATTGTCATACTCCTTTCGGGGGAAGACAATTTACTCCCCAAAAGGAGTATGCCAATGTATGCCATCTATCCATATGTATCCATTAAATCAATACGACAAGTGATCATGGCACATGCAGGTCTGTGTGTCGAACTTCGTTCAATCATACAATCCTGCCCCACCCGACCAACAATCTGAGCTTTGCGGCGTGTTCGCTACAGCCTGCGAACCGTCGGCCTGAGACTTTTCAGAAGGATCCCAAGCCAATCTCTATGGCTGGTGTGCGCACAGTGAATGTCTCAAGTAGCACTGAAAGCATATGTCGGAGATGCTTGCTGCGGAACATGGTACCAAATGTGCCAAATAACCAGCCCAACTCAAACCCCATGGAACATCATTGCATTTTACCTTGGAAAGACGGATGTCTCATGTGATCCCCCAAGGTCGGTTCAACCTTGGTTGGATCGAAGGGATCTGGTCGGAAGCCGTTGGCACCTGCAACAGGTTGTGGACTTAGTAGCGTCTTGTTTCTAATAGCTTCTTGCTCCTAGTAGTAAGGCCAGGAGCCCCTAGTAGCGTCCTCTACC